CGTCCCGCCCCACCCCCGCCCTGTGCCCGCCCGGCCGCCGCCGCCGCCGTGCCGCCGGAAGTGGCGGCCGAGAGAGGACCCGGCCGACCGGATGCGCGGTCTGTCAGCCGGGCACGGCTCCCTCGGAAGCACGGCTCGGAAGGAACGGGGCTGTGTGCGTGACACACACACACACACACACGCACACACACACACACACACACACCACACACACACACCCACACAACACACACACACACACACACGCATGCTCTCTCTCTCTCTCTCTCTCTCTCTCTCTCCTCTCCTCTCTCTCTCTTCTCTCTCTCCTCTCCCCTCTCTCTCTCTCCTCCTCTCTCTCTCTCTCTCTCTCTCTCTCTCTCCTTCTCTCTCTCTCTCTTCCCTCTCCTCCTCTCCTCTCTCCTTCTCTCCTCCTCTCATTCCTCTCTCCCCTCTCTCCTCCCTCTCTCTCTCTCTCTCCTCTCTCTCCTCTCTCTCTCTCTCTCCTCCTCTCTCCATCTCTCTCTCCTCTCACTCTCTCTCTCTTTCTCTCTCTCTCTCTCTCTCTCTCTCTCTCTCTCTCTCTCTCTCTCTCTCGCTCTCTAGCTAGACTCCTGCCAAACACGTTAGTGCAGTCCTGAGCGTTGCCGCAGACCGCCCCGCCTACAGTTTTGACTTGTACGCTAGAATGTCTCACATGTCCTGCGCTGCAGTGACCTCGTTCTGGACCGAGCGATACTTTGTCCTGCAGTGTCTGTCGGCTGTCCTCCCTGCCGTCACACAAATCTGCCCCTTGTGCCCGAGTGACATTCCCCCCTAACCCCACCCACCCGAACCGGCTCCCAGCAGTGTGTGAACGGCCCCATCCATAACGCTGCATTACAGCGCCCTACCCACTATGCAAATGACGCCGGTAACGCTGTCGCCTTGCTGTGCTGCTCCTTAACTTGGAAGGGTAACTCAATCAGACCCAATCCTTGCTCAATCTGGACGAGCAGCGCGGTAAAGTGTCTCAACCGGCTATTTCCTCCGCTCATGCAGAGACCGGGACCGCAGGCGCCGGCGGCGGCCGGCCAGACAGCCGGGCGCCGCGCCGCCTCGACAGCTGCCGGCGCCGCCAGCCAATCGCCCAGCTTGTCGGCTTTGATCACTGAACTGCTGCAGATGGTGTGGCAGTGCAATGATATTGCGCAATCTGGCAAACGAACAAATAACGATGACGGAAATGACTACAAATAATCATAAAACTAAACCACAGTCGAATGCACTTATCCACGGCCACTTGCGCTTATCAAACAGAACAGAATGATTTCCCAGGCTCGTTGCATAAAGGATAACCAAATGTACAGGTCTTACTGCTGCGCCACCAGACGAGGCCGACATAGCGCCACGTTTCGTTCAGAGTGACGGGCAGTTTACAGCAAGCTGCTCATATCATTCCACACGTCGATGGGGCAGGAGGGCCTCGCTGCCGGCCGGCTAACTCTCGGCCGCCAACGGTTCCGTTCTGTGCACCCGAGTCAGCACGTTTACGCGACTCAGCATCGTCAGAGGTCATCAAATATGAGGTCAGAGGTCAGAGGACCGTCCCCTGCCCTCGGGCCGTCGGAAGTCATAGCCCGTCACCTGCTTCCAAACCATGAGAGGTCACAGAGATCAGAGATCAGAGGTCAGAGGACCCGTCCCTGCCCTCGGGCTGTTGGAGGTCATGACCCGGGCCCGTGTCGTCTTGCAGGGCTCGGCGACGCCCGTCGGCCGCCGCGCCCCCGTGACTGACAGCGGCGCCACTCGAGGCGCGCCGCTCGCCTTGGCCCGCACGTGACGGCGGCCGCGGCGTTTGTGACGCACTCGCGTGACAGCCGCGTCAATCACGACGCGAGAGGCGACGTGGCGCGCGCGGGGCGCTGCCGCGACCGTGTCGACGTGTGGGCGGCGGTCTGTCGCGAGCTGACGCGTCAAGGAGGGGTGCTGCGGCGTTTCGTAACACGGCTAGAAACGATGCTTTCGCACCCCGCAATCACAACGTGACACGAATGATGTTCTGTTACCGAAACATTTCGGTCTGCGCGACGCTCGTATGTTGAGTGCCGGTGTTGAACGGCGCCGACCAAACATGATACGTTGCGTGAGCACCACCCGGTGACTTTTGTGAGCTCCCCAACAATGCGACAGGACGCGAATGCGACCGCGCAGGCCATGGCCATTTTGTCACGAACATTAAACGCTCATGTAACGCGGCGCCGAACAGGAAATAATTGATCACTGCTCTGGGCGGCGGCAGTCACTCATGAGGGCTCGCGTCCACGCTTTCGTTGCGGGCACTGCGGCCGTGGTGGACAGGCTCGGCCTCCAGCCGTGCCATGTCAAGTCCCCGTCCGCTCTCTGGGGCGGGGAGGGGGAGGGGGAGGGGGCGTCGGCCGCCGTCGCGCCGCTGCACGCCGCTGACGGACGTCCGGCGGCCCGGCTCGACCAGTCCGGAAACGGCGACCTGGGAGGGGCGCCGGCCGACCTGGGAGGGGCGCAAGCCGGCCTGGGACGGGCGCCGTTCGGCCGGGAGGGACGCTGGTTGGCCTGGGAGGGGTGCCAGCCGACCTGGGAGGGACGCCGGCCGACCCGGGAGGGGTGCCGGTCGGCGCCGGCACGCCCGAGAGCCGCCGCAGGGGGTGGCGAGCGCTGCCTCGGGCCATAGCCGGCCGGAGTCGGCTGACTCCCCGCTCATGCGTGCCGCCTCCCCAGCCTTCCCTCCCCGCCTTCCACAGCTCGGGCGCGGGCTGGAGGAGGCAGGGATGGAGGATAGGTGGCGGACCTGGACGAGAAAAATAGCTGCGGTAGAGGTGTTGGAGCTGCGGGAGAGGTGCCAGCATGGGCGAGAGTCCATCAGAGCTCCGAGGGGTTAGCGCCTTCGGTTTCCGTATGGGGGCCCGGGCTCGAACCCCTGTTGTGTAGCGGCCCCGGGGCGCTTACATGGCCCAGCCGTCGGTGGCACTTCATAAAAGGGTGAGTGACATGTGCCGCCGTTCCTCCATATACAACAGAGGAGAGACGATGATAATGCTGTGGCGTTGTTCACGTAGCATGGCGAATGTAAAACGACTTTTATAAAACACCTCTGCCATTCGTCACTAGAGCGTATTTGCAATGTGCGGTTCACTGATTCATGAGGCAATACTTGTAAGAGCTGTTGTGCCCTGTGTCAGTGTTGGTTTCTCTCCGCCCTGCTGCTGGCTGGTTTTTGTGCTGCAGTCGGCAGCGCGGCATCGTGTCTGTAGGTTGCGTGATAGCGCGTTCATACCTGATTGTCTCATTTCTTTTAAACTTGGTTATCAAAAATCATCCTTTGCACATCTATATCATGATTTTTTTTTGGGGGGGGGAGAACCGACGTGTTTGCCTCTTGTGGGTATTTGATTTAGTTATGAATTTCATAGTCGCTCACGTCCTCCGTCTTAAGTAACGGTTTTCTGTGTGTGTGCCATGACATGTACCCAGTGCGAGGCCGCCGCGAAAAATATCGCTGTCATTGCGAAGTTTGAGCTTGTGCAGTCGAAGACGACCGGTGGTGGTTGAACGCGAGGCAGATAGCCGGTGTTTTGTTTTCTCGATTTTTGCTGGGATTCCGCATCCCTTCCTTTACAAAATGGACACGTGATGTGGAAGAATATCTTAATGAATCACATATTGAATCAGTTAGTTGTTTTGGCCGGAGACATGAAATTATAGCACGAAAACGAAGCATGTGGGGTATCTGCCTGATGTCGACGAGACAATGATGAGTAGCGGCAGCACAGCTCGGTCCAGGTCTGCATATCTACTTCTTTAACACATAAATGTTTCCCTTTTCTTGAGCTGTTCGTTTGAGAACACTATCTCCCGTGTCACTTGGCTCACAATCACACCAAGGGATGTGATTGTGAGCGAACTGATTCGCAATGCAAACTCATTCTGACAAGCTTCGTGCGATGTAATCATGTGTTCAGGACAAATTAGTCATGCCCATACATGCTCAGGCTCAAACCACACATGATGAATTGAATTGGTTTGTCTATCACTGTTTTTATATATAAGACATCAATAAGGACTCTTACTTAAGGCTATAATCGGAGAACAGTCTTTCTCCAGCCTTCCCATTCAACGCAGTACTCCGGACTTACTTCTTGTAACACAGTGTGTGCCAAAAAGGCAAAAAGATATGGATGCCGTCAGTCGGCCCCCGATCCTCCAATGGGGAGTGCTTCCTCAGCTGTATCAGCTGCTTATCACCTGTTCAAACACGATCATTTACAGCGCAAGCATCACGTGTTTTTTCGCCAAGACGCCGCCGGTGCTGGTCCACGGGTTGTGTTGCCGCCGCGGAGCCAAATGTTTACGTTTGCATTTTATATCGTTCTGAAGCGGCATGTAAAGGTGGCTTTTAACGCAATAATGCAAAGAAACGGATAGAATGTAGTAATCAAAAAACAGCCACAAGGGATGAAAAGGAAAGCGTACGGATCAGGGAAAGGATATGGGGGGGGGGCCTATGGGGGACCCTGCACCGAGGCAAGGATGAGTAGGCAGGTCAAGATAAGGTGACGGTATGTGAGAACACACTGCATGTGCAATTCACGCTCGAGAGCGCTCATGAGCACCGACCGCACCGTCGCGTCCCGGGTGTACGGACTGCCGACCCGCCTCTATTGGCCAGCCTGCGAATCTGACCCGGCTCGCCGGTCCCCAGCTGGGCCAATCGGAGCCGGCTGACTGAGCCTCGCCTGCTCCGCATGACTGTGTCGGCTCTGTGTGCCTGCAAGAGTTTAGTTGCGTCGGGCCGGCGGCGGCTGTGGCGAGTCATTTCGGGGGGCTCGTGCCCAGAGCTTTGACCACGCCTAATTATCATAAATTACGTCGGGGTGAGGGGCAGTGTATCGATCGGGGCACGCGCCGGGCAGGGGGCACCGAGTGGGGAGGGGGAACTCCAGGTGAGCGGCAGCAGGTGGTGGCACTCTTTGTTTCTTCCAGCTCGCCGGCGGCTCCGCCCCCCGCGCACGCTCACTGGCTGGCTGAAGGAGCGGGCGGCGGCCTTAGCCAATCAGCGGCCGCCTTGCGATGATGTCACCGGGCGAGGAAGACCCGACGCCGTTCGGAGATAAGTCCGAGTGCCGCCGCGGCCGCCCCAGACAGCGCGTGGACGCGGGCGAGGCGAGAGGCGCGCTGTCCGGCTTCACCCCGCTCCGTCCGTGGTTCAGCGCCTGCCCCAGTGTCGTGTCGCCGTTCAGTCCCGTCTGTTGGATGAGCCCCGGCGTGCTGGCGGCGGCGGGCGCGCATTGTGCAGGCATGGGCGTCAGCCAGGTGGAGCGACTCGGCGCCGGGCCGGCCGTCAACAACGCGCTGCTGCGCGACATTCTGGCGCGCGGCGGCGTGAACGGCGCGCCCGAGCTGGAGCCGCGCCGCTTCTCGGCGGCCGAGCCGTCGGCCGAGGTGCAGGCCGACAGCAGTCAGCAGCCGCCGGGCGACGAGGACGAGGACGAGGACGAGATGGACTCGGCGCCTGCCTCGCCGGCCGAGTCCGAGAAGAAGTCGCGCCTCGAGAGTATTGTGTCCGGCATGCGACACGGCTCCGGCTCGCCGCAGCCCATCAACGGCTGCAAGAAGCGCAAGCTGTACCAGCCGGTGCAGCACGAGGCGTCGGCGCGAGCCAGCGGCGAGGAGAGCGACGCCGACGTCACCGCCGACGAGGAGCCGTCCGGCGACAAGCAGCGTCGCGTCGAGCCCGACGATGTCATCCAGAGCCAGCTCAAGTCGGTGCAGAGCCAGCTGGAGCTGATGCAGGAGCGCTACGCGCAGCTGTACCGCGGCGGCGGCGGCGGCGGCGGTGAGCAGCCGGAGCGCTGCCAGGACGGCGGCGAGCTCGACCTGTCGCGCCGCGCGCCGCAGCCGTCGCCCGAGAAGCCGCGCGACGACGCGGCCACGCGGCCCGTGCCGGCGCTGCACAAGATCGAGGCCGAGCCGCCGACGGCCGGCACGTTCATCGACTACGCACGCCGCGTGTTGGGCGCCGACCCGCGCAACAAGGAGAACGAGCGCCGCCCGGAACCGACCGGCGGTCGGCCTGCGCGCGCCGGCCCCGACGTCGAGGGCCTGGCCGACGCGCTCAAGTCGGAGCTGACGCAGTCGATGGCCGGCTTGATCGACTCGATCGTCAGCAAGTGGGCGCAGCAGCGGCGCAAGGAGGCCGAGCCGCCGTCGGAGCGACGCTCGCCGCGCGCCGAGATCCTGCGCCGCATCAGCCAGCACAACGGTCGCTTTCCGGGCCTGGGCACGCCGTTTGCCGGCGCCGACGGCCTCTCGCCGTTCGGTCTGCCCGGCCTGGGCGGCATGCGGCCGCCGGGCGCGCTGCCGCAGCTCTTCCCGGCGTCGCGGGCGGCCGGCTTCGGCGGAGGCCTCGGCAGCCCAGTCTACAGCTCGCCGTACAGCCTGCAGGCGCTGCGCGACTCCATGCAGCAGCAGGAGCAGGACGAGGGCCCGCTCAGCCTGGTTATGACGCCCAAGAAGAAGCGGCACAAGGTGACCGACACGCGCGCGCTGCCGCGGCCCGCCGGCCGCATGCCGGGTGACGACGGCCGGCCGCCGGCGGCCGACTCGCCGTCGCCGCGTCCCTTTGGCGGCCCGCCGCCGCCGCCGCCGCCGCACATGCTGCCCGCCTCGCTGCCCACCTCGGTGGCCATCCCCAACCCGAGCCTGCAGGAGTCGCACTTCTTTGGCGGCTACCCGTACTACCAGCGGCCGGCGAGCAGCCCGGGCCGACGCGACTCGGCCAGCCCGCCGCAGCCGGCCGGGCCTGGCCTGCTGCACCCGGCGCTGCTGGCCGCCGGCCGCCGCTCGCCGCCCGACAGCATCGGCTGCTACCGGCGCGACACGCCCGACCGCTCCGACTGCAACTCGCTGGAGAGCGGCTACGACGGCCAGCGCTCTAACCTCTCCTTCTCCAGTCGCATCGACGGTGAGCGACGCTCGAGGGCCGGTCAGGAGGGGCGTGTCTTGACGCTCGCGGGATTCGCTCGGCTGGTATGTGTTTTGTGGTGCCTAATAGGTCACGGTACAAACAGACCCTCAGTATCTGCAAACAGCCTCTCAGTCATGATTTCTTTAGTCGCCTGCCAGTGAAACTGCTGGAACGTGACTAACAACGTAATTCTGCACCAACGTCACGTTTGCGCAATGCGATGTGTTGTGTACGATGCGAGCGCTATGTGTCACTGTCGATGTGCTGACGTCACGTGTCGTTGTTCAGCTCGGTCGGGCCTGTCCCTGACCTCGGAGCACTCTTCGACGCTGACGCCGATGCACCTGCGGAAGGCCAAGCTGATGTTCTTCTGGTCTCGCTACCCGAGCTCCTCCATTCTCAAGTCGTTCTTCCCTGACATCAACTTCAACAAGAACAACACTGCCCAGCTAGTCAAGTGGTTCAGTAACTTCCGGTGAGTTGCAGAGTCTGGCACCGAACAATTGTTTTTTGACGGCAGCTTTCGGCTCGTTTAACAGTTTTCGCTACTTTAACAGCATGGCTGAAATAGCCAGCTAATAAGGTATAATATTACCACTACATGAATTAACACGCGTCATAACATTCAACGATCATGAAGTCTAAGTGCGAGTCCACTCAGCAGCTGTCTGAGTCACGCATTGATGCCCGAAACGCTGAGTCACCTTCAGACGTTCGTCTAGTCGCGCATGCGCGGGCATGCCCGGCCGTCCCTCAAGAGGGACATCCCTGACTGACAAGCCCCCGGCTGCCGACGCGGGGTCGGGCGGCGCAGTTCGAGGCCGCTCTGATTCAGACCCCAGTCTGCGCCTGTCGTCGGCCGGCCGTTGGGTGGAGCCCGACCCACCCCGCCCCGCCCTGTCTCCACGCCGCACGACCGAAACTCATCAAACAGATTCGTACATGGCGCTGCCGCGCCCATAAAACATAACGCGGATGCGACTCCTATGAGGAGAGCGGCGCTCACAAAAGCGCGCTTTGATGGCAGAGCGCCACAATCGGGCAGTGAAGATTTTACAGCTGCCCCGGCTGAAAGTCGCCGGCCCCGACCTCTGAGCTATCGATCTCCGCGGCGGCGCTCTGGGCCGATCTCCGGCTCCCTGACCGAGTGTCACAGTTTAGCGGGCGGCGCGGACTTTTAATCGCCTGGGAGCTCGCGGGCGGACGGGGAGACGCGAGGGGAGAGAGCCCGGCGGATGCGCCGTCTTCGTCGATGCGATCTGAGTTCCCCGACAAGCGAGGCTGGCGGACCGAGCAGTGCTCATCTCGCGCCGTTTGCACTTGCGAGGAGAGGAATTCGAAATCATGTCTTGCGTCATTAGCAACTGGTTTTTGACTGATGGAGTCGGCCAGCTGAGCACAATCACAACAAGCCACCCTTGCTGATTCAGCGCCGGCTCACTGACATCAAAGCGCACAGGCGGCTGTGCCGCGCACGCGCAAAAACTTCCGTGCTCCAATTCAACCCGCCTTGAGTAAGGATTTCTGCGGCATTGCTGGCGGCAGGCGCAGATGGTCTGACTGCCACCCTGGGGTCGGGTCGGACGGGTCCTTCCCACCTGAGCCTGGCGAGCGCGCCTCAATGACCGGCCCGGCGGCCGGGCGGGCTCGTAATGTCCAAGTGTTTGGGCGCGTTACTTTGACAGGTGATAAGGCGCCAATCAGATAATGGCCTCCACCTGCGGCAACGCGCCGTCCGACCTTTCTCCGTAGGCTGCGCTGGGTCGCAGCAGCCACAGCTGCGCTGATCGAAGTGGGGGGACTGACTCAGCGTCGTCAGACGCCCGAACAACTCCGGCGGCGGTGTCGACGGACTTGGGGATCCCCAGCTATGCATACGATGGGGATTTCCAACACTTAGCTAACAGCCTCGCTCTCGCCAGCCCTAACACACCTGGGGGCGGGAGCAAACAAGCCGCCATCCTATCGCTTCCAGAGCCCAGGCTTTCAAAGACATCACGAGTCGCGGCCAAACTGCTCCTCCGGCGTCACCGTCACGCCGTCACGTAACGGCGTCACGGGCGGCGCCGCGTGACGCTGCGCCCACCGCGTTACACTCATTGGACGACCCCGACAGGGAAAGTGTGCTCCTGTGTGCACGCGCGCGAAGCTCAACCGCCGCTCACAACAATTACCATATTCTTGGCATGAAATTTCATTTCACTTTCATTGTCGTCTTTTTACGGCCGGCCCCGGAGCGTGGAGAACAGCCGGCGGTGACTTTCGTGCCGGCCCTGGCTCGCCCCGCCGCCCGCTTGTCAAGCCTGGCAAGACAGCGGGCGCGCGGTGACGTACCTTCACCCGCGCACGGCCCCGTGGCCGGACGGCTGACCGGTCACAAACAGCTGATCGCGGCGACGTCACCACATCACCCGGCGTGATTCACCGCGCTTCACGTAGCAGACTGCTGTTCGCTCACCGGTCGGTGTTTGGAGCGCGCGGTCGCAGCGTGGCAATGCACGTCACTCCAGCAGCCACGCGCGTCACCTTGACGAGCCTCGCCGTAGACCGAATACTCACCGGCACGCCCGCCCGCCCGCAGGGAGTTCTTCTACATCCAGATGGAGAAATACGCTCGCCAGGCGGTCAGCGAGGGCGTCAAGACGGCCGAGGAGCTCACCGTCACGCCCGACTGCGAGCTGCTGCGCGTGCTCAATCTGCATTACAACCGAAACAACCATATCGAGGTGAGTCTCCCAGCGGGCGGCGACGTTTGTGCCGCCCCGCACTGGCCTGGAGGCACAGCGGCAGGAGCTACGGTAGAGCAGGGCTGGCACAATGCACATGGAACGCGTCTTGACTTCACGCACAGTGACTGCGCGTGCAGTGCCTAGCGATGCATCATTAGTCACGAGCTGATCGCATATCACACACTGTACCACTAGTAATGACGCTGGTACAGTTGTCCGGCGTCACCAGCGCCGGGTGCGTCGGGCGGCTCCTGCGCCGCAGCATGCGCGTGTGCGTGTGTGTGTGCGTGCGTGCGTGTGCGTGTTTGAGGCTGGCGCCGCCGCTGTGTCTGACGCGGCCGGCCGCGTGTCTCCCGTTCTCTCAGACGCCGTCTCCATCTCTGACGCCGGCCCGCGCGCCGTTCCAGATCCCCACCAACTTTCCGTACGTGGCCGAGGCGGCGCTGCGCGAGTTCTTCCGCGCCCTACAGGCCGGCAAAGACGCCGAGCCCAGCTGGAAGAAGGCCATCTACAAGGTGATCGCGCGTCTCGACGAGAACGTGCCCGAGTACTTCCGCCTGCCCAGCTTCCTGGAGCAGCTGGAGTGAGAGCGCGTGCGGGCGTCGGGCGGCCGCCGCCGCCGCTGGGCCGTGAATCCGTGGCCATAGGCACGTGTACAGAGCACGCAGCAGCTGCACTGACCCAGCACGCCGTCACCAGCGATGAGTTAACTAGTCACCCCCCCCCCCCCCCCCGTACACATGTAGCGCCGACGCCGGTCCACATATCAGCGCAGGCCGGAGGCGCGCCCCGCGCGGCCGACGCCAGCCTTTCTAGTCACAACCTCGTCTCGCTGCCCGCGCCGACGCGTCCCCTGTACATAGACCGTGTTTGTTACCGCGCGCCGCCGCGTTGTTGCGCTGTTGTTGAGTCGGTGGGGCCGGCCGCCCGGCCGGCGGCACCCGACGCTCCATATCATACATTCCACTGTGTGCTGTACCCGTACCGGAGTAGGTGGCGCCACCGGCGGCCGGGTCGCCGCCATCGGCGGTCCCCGGCCGCAGGCGAGCGTTAGAGACGTGAAAAATATACACTGCAACCGACCATATATCTCTGACTGAAGATGGCCGGCGAGACTGCTGTGCGGGCCCGAACGACGACTTGAAACGAGGCGCTCCGGAGATGGCGGCGGAGCAGGCGGCGTTCGGAAGCACGACAGCTTGGCACGCTGCCAGGGGTGGTCTCAGACGAAGGGAAGACAGTTTTCTTCAGACGGGCCCCGATATTGTCAGGGCCTTGATGCCACGAGGAATATTCCTTTTCATACGTGCGTTGACGGCGGGGGAGTGTAAGTGGTAAAATCTGCCGTTGTCGAGTTATCCGAAAAGTAGTTTGGGGCAGAAATAGAAGCAGTGGGGAAAATATGCACTTCTTGTGAGAAATTGCTAACACAAAAAGACGGGCTGGGCAAATGGTGGCTAGCTCTCAGATACCTGCTCACCATTTTTCCCAGCTGATCTCTTACTGTTGTAAAGTAGACTCTGTTTGTGGAAACCGATGAAAGTTACACACAGAGGTAATAGCAAATCGAACAACCGTAAAGTGTCGCTGAACGCAACAGACGTCTGTGGCATCGTGCATTTCTTTAAAGGTAGGTATGTAAATAGACGCCAGTTTATTACACATATGTTGTGAGAGATAATCGCTGGAAAATTTGAACGGCTGGCGCACCCAGAATTTGGATGCGTGCGACTTTTAAGCGATAGAAAGATTTGATCGTGAGCATTCAGAAATAAAGCATCGTTGAACTGCCATATAATACGGCACACAAAAAATGTGTGAGGAAGTCTGATTGCACGAACACGATTTATCGCCTTGTCACTGGTCAACATTTAAGACGTTAAAATCCGCGACATGTCTATGTCAAGAGCTTTGGGGTAACCGGAAAGCATCTTTTTCTAAGACAAGCATGGGAGCACGCATGTATGTCATGCTATGAAGTAATAAAGATGGTTTTCGCATGTACACAGTGGAATATTCCTGAAATCGACGGATTTACCTCCTGAGCTTGATTGCCGCTCGCGTGGCCGTGGGAAACTAACTAAAGTGAAACCAGCATTTTAGGCCTTACCGATGTTCTTTACAAGTGGAAGACGTCGCTAATTCCGGAAATGCTAAGCACTTGTTGCAAGTGGTGCGGCACCCGTGCTAACACTAACAGCGAAAAATATCCCACATTTTTAGCAGGCCCAGAAGATTTTCAGCACGTTAAGACAGAATTACGTTAACAGAATTACGCCAACACAGTGCTCAAGTTAAAGGTTCCCATCAGAAACAACGTCATGAGGGTTTCTAATCGGTCGAATGGCCCAAGCGCTTTAAGGTTCTTTTGAAACTGGCTAATCTTGCCTTTTAGACCTCCACAGAAATTAAGCCTGCCCCAAGTCTTTCGGTTCCCTTGGAGGTTCAAAGGAACGGTATTGCCGATGATTACCTTGAAATATGCCCTCTCAGGGCTCCGGGAGGCTGGAGGGCTTCCCTTGGCCAGTCCCACGACGGGGACCTTTCAGAGGTCCCGAGGCTCCTAGCTACAGGTAAGCCGTTCTACAGGTCCCAATCTGATACCTCTTGAATAGCAATTGGAGCCCTTGGGTCCCTATACCTCCAGTCGATATTCCAGGTGACAAACAGCGGAACAATCTTTTACTGTCCGTAAAGCAAGCAAGGGCACCCAAGCTCTGTCACTACTCATGGCCATGACCACGAAGACAATGGCTTTTGTCATCCGTGTATTTCCAACGCATTACAAATTAGCTACGTGTCGGCACAAACTCCAGCAAAAAAAAAAACTGTCTTTCTCTATGAAAACATAGACCCAGAAGCAGCCACTTCCTGAGAAGCACGAGACACGCAGAATCGCGGGCAAAGCAGCTGCTCACACCGCGACGGATGGACAGAACCGGCCACAGATTCACGCCTACAAACAGAATGAGATCAACTATGGTGTCAGCACTGCTCACGAGAACACGCACATGGCGCTGGTGGGGGGCACCACACGTAACATGCAACAAACACGCCGTCATGACCGATAGGCAGCACGCAACCAGTGAGACAAGCTGCGAGTATCCACCAGCAGCGAGCGGCCGCCATGCTTGCCGCCGGGCGGGGCGGGTCGGTTCGGTCCGCCCTCTCCCGCCGCCAGGCACGTGGCAACGCGCCGGCTCCGACACACCGCGCTCCGGACCTCCTGTAACCGCCTGCTGCGCTCGCGAGCCACAGCCGGTCCGGGGACCGCGTGGCTTAGACCGCGTCCATGGGGCCTGCCAGCGCGCTGGCCGAGCGTCTTGGACATGGTCCGCGCTGGGGCCGAGAGCGTGCCCTCGTTACGCTACCGGAGACGGTCCGATGCCACGCCTCCAGCGCTGCCGTGGGGTTCGGCGCTGGGAGCGGACCGCCAGGTGCGCACGCTGACCAAACCAGAGCGCGCGGGGCGCTGCTGGACAGGAAGCTCCTCCGCCGTCACCTTCGGCCGCCGCGGCCCAGACCACTGCCGTGGCGGTCCGGTGGTCCGGCCTGGCGGACCTGGAATTCAACCCTCACCGGGCAGGAAACCAGGAGCGGTGCGATCATGTGCAGCCGCCGCTGCGAACCTGTCCAGCATCACGCCCGATCAAACGGAACGCTGGCATGATCCGTGAAGTAGCTGACGAGCGGCTGTCCGGAACCGCCTGCCTGGCTGTCCGGGACCGCCTGCCTGGCTGTCCGGGACCGCCTGCCCGGCTGTCCGGCTACCCGCGTCGCCTCAGCGGGCGACATTGTACTGTCGGCGCCGCCCGTTGCCTCGCCGCGTCCCGCGCGCGGCGCGCGGTCGGGCCCGGCCGCCCCCGGCGTCGCTGGCCGTCTCTGGCGGGCGTTACCGCGGGTTGTGCACGGTCCACACCCGGCAGACGTCGCCGGAGGGGCCGGCGGCGGCCGGCGCGCACAGCCGGTAGTCGAGCGAGTGCAGCTCCAGGCCCGGCCCCAGCAGGTCAGCCTGCTCCAGCTGCAGCGCCTGCCGCACAGCCACACGGACACGGTCAGCACGGCCGCCACACGGTCGTGATGAGCGCGCCCGCCACACATCCAAACATCCACAAGGCTGGATGTTGTCGGAGGGTGGCGACGGCCAGGGCACGGCGCCGACAGGGAGCAGGGGTGCGCTTCCACAGAAATAACGGGAAGCCACAACTTGCTGATGTGTGTTCACAATGCTGAGGGCGAAGAAACAACACACATGCACTTAACAAAGATTCCATAACAAGGGATGCCAGGAAATGCTAGGAAGTTTCCTAGCCCTTAGCATGTCGCGATGGTTGCTAGTACTGTGGAACGTTGGAACGACTGTCCGGCCAGCGCTCGCCCTTCTACCCCGCCCACCGTGAGCCGTCCGCCTCAAGCACATTGCCCAACCCGCCGCGCCGCCTCCAGCCGGCGTCAGCGTCAACCCACGGCCGGTGAGCGGACGCCCGACCCTGGCGGCCGGCGGTCACCATAGTCCGGTCCGGTGGGCCGCGCTCGCGCCGGCCCGCCGCCAGCTCCCTCACCGGGCTGGCCTGCTGAAGGACGGCTGGGTGGGCGGCCTGCAGCAGCACTGGCTGCGGCGGCGGCGGCTCCAGGTCAGCGGCGGCGCCGGCGGCCGCCGTCCGCGCCGGCAGGCTGGCCTCGTCGCTGGTCGAGGAGTCCAGCTCGCCTGGCGGACCGAGCACGCGTGTCGTCACGCCGCCGTCACGCGCGATCTCATGCGACCCGGCGGCTCATCGGATGGCGGCTTATACCCGGACGCTCGCCAGAAGAGGTCCCTTTCGATATCTGCGCGTGGTTGCAACTCTCGGGGGCCTCAACCGCCCCACCCCCTCCCACGAAAAAAATCGCGAAGGCCTACCCACCAACCCCCGTTGGTACGTGTGGACATTCTTCCGCCGACGCAGCCCATCCTCGTGACGCCACGGAGAGCGAGCTGCCTGCTCCTACGCCACGAGTCTCCAGTCACAGCCCCCAGCGCATCACCGACCAGGGCCTGCCCACCACCGCAGCTGTCGCCGGCAGCGGCCCCCCTCGGCCGCCGCCGCCGACCCTCTCGGCGTCTGGCCGGTGCAGGGCACCCGGTCTGACCTGCGGGGTCGGGCCGGCCGCCGGCGCCGCGCGGCCGCAGCAGCACGCGCGGCAGCTGACTGTCGGGTGGCATCAGCTCCACGTGCTTCTTGCGCTGGTGCTGCAGCAGCTTGGCGCGCGAGGCGTACTGCTTGTGGCACCAGGAGCAGCGGTGCGGCGACATCGTCACGCTGCCCACTGTCTGCGAGTAGCTGGTCTGGTCGGCGTTCTCGCCCTGCGGCCGCGGCCGGTCTACGGTCACGTCACGGGTGTGCTGAGACGACCGTCACACGTCGACGGCATCCAGGGCAGGGCAGGGCAGGGCAGGGCAGGGGCAGGGGCAGGGCACGGACAGGTACCAATCCGACGGCTTCAGTCACAACCGCGGAGAAAGAGAGCACGCAGGCTACGCGCGGGGCCTGCTGGGGGACGGCCATCACAACGGTGCAGGCGGGGGCGCGCCTGACTCACAAGGCGGGCGAATGTCACACACGGCCACGCGGGGAGGGGCAGACGAGGCGGACAGCTGAGTCGCGGAGACACCCGCCACACGCGGCACGCAACGGCTGCCCGCAGTCCAACGCAGCGCAACACGGCCATGGGCTGGAGCAGCATCGACCGTGTGAGACCACACAGCGGACGGAGGGGCGCAGTTCGCTTAACGCAATATACAGCGAGCTGCGCTGGTCGGTCCGGAGGCGGCCGTCTACTGACCGGCGACAGCTTGACGCCCCTCGAGCTGACGGGCAGCTCTGCACCCGGGTGGTTCTTTAGGATGTGCGCCTTCCGCTTGGAGCTGCTCTTGTAGGTCTTCTCGCAGTACTGGCAGTAAAAGTCCTTGGTGGTCTTCAGGATGGGCAGCATCAGCTCCGGCACCTGCGACGCCAAGACCGTCCGGTTAAGGATACTCGCTACGCTCCGTGCCAGAGTATCAGGGGGCAGCGGACGGCACGTCTCCGTCACGATACCCGTGACCGGATGTTCTGTTTACCGCAGTAACTCCACTGCAGTTCCCGGCAGCTCAGGTAAGTGTTGAGCACGACGTCACCGTCCCACATTTTTAAGTTCAAAGCCGACGTGTGTCCAACTAACTCAAACCATGCAAGGCGGTTTCCTTCGCCCGAGCACTCAAGTCGCACCGGAGCGGTGGCCGGGCGAGGGATGCCTTGCATCAGACCCGGAGCTGAGGGCCTGTAGGGCGTGCTCTGTGACCTTTAGCCGCGGCCTGCCGCCAGCCAGACGGCGTCGGCCTGTCGCTCAGCGGGGCGGCGTCCCCCGGCGGCGGCGGCGACGGGAAGTCCCGCCGGTCGGCGCCGCCCCCTGACGGACCGGCGCCCGGTCAGGCGGGCGCGCCACGCCGCTCCGGCCCCCGCTCACCGGTCACCCAGGTGTCTGGTAAATGTCGGCCAGGCGCCCCTGCCCGGCCAAGCCCAAACCGCGATGTGAAACGTGGCAGCCGTGGTTTCACCTTTGTCCGGGGGACCTCTTCGGGACGGCTGACACCAGCTCAACGTACTCCCTCACCACCCCCGGGCCTTTGCCGGCTGGAGCGCCCAGCCCGGACAGCGCGTCACGGGCATACCTCGCCGCCGTCTTTGGACGGGAGCCGTGCCAGACGTATGCCATGCCATGACAACCGGCGTACCGTGCGTAGACGCCGCCAAGCGCACGGGGTCCCAAACCGCGCAGTCACGACAACCGACCGACCGACCGACCTGACCTGACCTGACCTGACCTGCCGTGACCCAGCCGTGAGAGGCCAGCGGCGCTCTGGCCTGCTCACGGTCCGGCTCGAGCGGTACCGCACCGGGACGGCCGGCTGCTGACCTGTTCCGGACCCATGTCCGGGTGCCGCTTGGCCAGGTGATTGACCAGCATGCCACGCCGCTTGAAGCCAAGCTTGCACTTGTGGCACTTGTAGATGAAGCGGTGGTAGTCGGTGGGCGAGACCTGCGGCCGGACACCGGTGACGTCAGCGTGCGGCGGATGACGTCGGACCGGCCGGCGCGAGCTCCTCGCGGCGGCGGTGACGAGGAGTCAGAGGACGACGGCCATGTCCGGACAGCCTTCCGTCGTGACGCCGCCGCCGACTCGATGCGTTCCAGGCGCGGATGGGTCGTGGGTGGTGCACTGTGGCTGACTGTCAAGCTGGACGACAGTGGGAGGGGGGAGGGGGGCTGCTGTTCAGGCACTGAAGAAATGAATGTCAAACGCAGCTAATCGCGGGCATTATTCAAAGCAAAACGCATTGACATGCGCCAGAGCTGATGAGAAATCGGAATGGCAATAGTCCTTGTTCCATTAATACCCCCTCGGAATGAAATGAGTGTTTTTGGCTGTATCATTCACCTACAATTGTCATAAAACCAGCAATCAACAAAGTCCACAAACATATCGCGCCCCAGATCCATGTCGGTCGTCGTTCAGAAGCCTCGTCCTTATTTAAGAGAACAACACAAGAATTACGAATCCTCACAACACGAGCGCCACACCGCTGCCGCTCGCCCGCGCACGTGCCTCAGGCTGTGGTGAGTTCTGGGACACGGACCTGGAGCTCACACGTCTTCCAGATCGCAAAGTGTGAGAAAGTGAGCCACAAGGTTTACGTAATATTTTCATGTTGTTAATCATGGACATGACGAGGCAATGGAACTCGTCAGGTTTATGACTATCCCAATAGCTTTATCATGATCTGCACGCTCATTTAAATGGTAATGGGGTATATTACCTCGTGCACATGATTAAATTGCCACTGGCAACGGCACACGAAGACACGCACGCACGCTAACGCGCGCACACACACACACGCACGCACGCACGCACGCACGCACGCACGCACACATACACCTCAACAAATATACAGCACCATGTGCACAGAGCCACGGCTAATTTGTACGTCGACGGCAGCATGGGCCCCCGACAGCCCTGTTTGAGGCAGCATCGCGGCCAGGCAGCGCGCACGGCCGGCCCGCGGAGTCGGCGGCCGCCCACCTTGGACGGGTACTGCTCCTGCTTCTGGTGCCGCAGCGCCCTCTCCTGCGCCGCCTTCCGCTCCGCCGAGTGCAGCCGCTTGACGTGTTCCTTCAGCTTGTCCTTGCGCTTGAACTGCTTGCCGCACTCGGAGCAGAGGAACTCACGGTGGTCCGAGTGCCTGTGGCGCCGGGCGGGCCGGGTCAGCAGGGTCGGCCGGGTCGGCAGGGTTAGCAGGGTCAGCCGGGTCAGCCGCCACCAGACGCCCTCAGGGCAGCTGGGTGACCCCCACAGACGGCACCGGGAAGCCCAGACTACGAAGACGCTCAAAGGGGCGCCCATAACATCCTGGGTGTGGGGGTCTGAGGATCTCGAACCTTTCAACTGCATTTATACGCAAACTGCAGCACACCCGGGAGTGCCTACTGAATGCAGCCGTGCTCACATCCGTGTACACCCACACATGCCGCGACCCTCAGCAACCGATCACCGGTGTGAGCTCCAGCCCCTGACAACCATCGCCTAACTGCCCCCCCCCTGCCCCCCCCCTCGCCGCCCGCAGAGCGACGCCGCGGGCCTCACTTGAGCATGTGCAGCTTGAGCTTGTCCGTCGACTGGCAGGGCTTGTAGCAGAGCGAGCACACGAACACGCGGTCGTTGTGGAACGAGCGAATGTGCTTCCGGATCACCATGTAGCCGTCGAACGACTTCTCGCAGTGCGGGCACGTGTACTTACCGTCCACCGCATGCATCTGAGGCGACACACAGCGTCAGTGCAGTACCGGTGGCCGCTGTCGGAGGCGGCGTCACCGGCAACACAGCCGCTAACCGGGAACAAACATATATTATCGTCAATTTTCTCAGCTTTAGCAGGTGAATATGAAGGTATTACCCTGATGTAGGTGGGGCCTAAGCACGCACAAAGCGGGGAGTCACCACTAAACTCGTCCACTTGATGCGACAATGCTGACGGTACGTAAAATGAGCCCTGTCGCATTACCACGTGCGAACACCAGACGCGAAGCAGCGGGCCACCCGCTGCCAGATGGTTGATTGTGCCTTCCAACCTCCTCCCCACTCAGACAGCACACGGCCTTCCTCCCCACTCAGACAGCACACGGCGGTCTGCCCACACCCGACGGCGGCCGGCGCCCGCAGGGGACCACGTCCCGCGACCCACCGGACCCAGCGCTGGGCCCCCACCCTGGTCCCACCCGCGTCCAGAGCCGGCGCGGCCCGCCACTCACCCGCACGTGCTCGCGGAGCGCGGTGATCTGCTCGAAGGTCTGCCGGCAGAGCGGACACTGGTAGCGGCGCGCCGCCGCCGAGTGCACGCGCCGGTGACACTGCAGCGCCGACACCGTGAAGAAGCGGCGGCCGCATGTGGAGCACGACACGGGCTTCTCCTCGTCCGGCACGTGCGTCAGCAGGTGGCGCTGTCGACCAGGGGCGCCGTCAGGCGCGTCGTGAGAGGCGTCGTGAGGAGCGCCGTCAGGGGTGCCGCCAGGGGCGCCGTGAGGGGCGAGCTCAGGCGCGCCGTCAGGGACGTCGTCAGGAGCGTCGTCAAGGGCGTCGTTGGAGGCGGCGGCGGGGACGGCAGTACGGCGGCGGTTCGCCGGTACACAACAACGAGCCCACCGGGCACTGAGTTCAAAATTCAGACAGTTTCCCTTCAGCAAGGTGCACCAGCTGCTGTATGAGCACCCTCAGAGTTGTAACCCATTGATCGGCCTGAGCACCGTTTCTCCGTCCGACACTGCGACGGGCCGCCGCGTCACACCACCTTGAGCCACTCCTCGTGTGTGAAGGCGCGGCCGCAGGGCGTGCACTTGAAGGGACGCGGGTCCTGCGGGCCGTCCGTCTCCGGCGACATGGTCTCCGTGCCGTGCGAGGCCACGTGACAGATGAGGTCCTCCTTCACCAGGAACTCCTGCCGCCGGCCGGCCGCCGCACCGGTCAGACGGCCGCGTCCGCGTGCAGCGGTGTCAGCTCCGGGCACACCACACAGCGTGCGACACACGGCAGCGCAGCACACCAACATACGCTGTGGCCGGTACATGAACAAAACGTTTGTAAGCTTTAAAATTGATTGGTAAACTGCCGGATGGCTAGATGGCGGCTAACCTTGCTACATTCGGGGCAGTCGAGTGGCTGGTCGGGCGGCAGGCCCAGCTCGTCCTCGTCCTCCTCCTCTCCGGCTGCCAGCGAGGCGTCCTCCAGGTCGAGCGCCGCGTGCGCCAGCGTGTGCAGGTTCAGCGTCGACGCCGACTCGAAGTGCAGCGGGCAGTACTGGCATTGCCATCTGTCGGTCAAAACGGCAGGCTTGGGCGGCGCGGTCGGAGTCATCCGCGCGTGCACTCCGCATGAGGGGGCGACTCTGTACTGCAAACCCTACGATAACGCAGTCAACGACTAGAGGGGAGGGGGTATGCTGCTGCTTCCTTGGTTTCTTCGTGGCAAAAAGACACCGTTGCGATCAATATTGTACCGACCGTGGCGGCTTTCTGCCCACTAATTCGCGAAAGGACATTGATCTGACAGCCAGGTTTCACGATATCTGAAGACAAAGTGCCATTACTAATGCAACCTTTTCAGCAGTCATGCACTGACAACTGTTTGCACGCCGTCCCGTTGAGCAAGCCTATGCGGCTATGTAACCCCAGCCAATACGCACATACACATGCTTCCTCTGCATACATCCTTCATGTATTCGGTTGGCACAAAAGCTTAACAGTACTACTATCTGCTCATCAAAGAAATGCGATTTAAAATGGAGGGCCAGGTGTGTTTTATCCGTCACATTCTTCTTTGTATATCTGCCGCATCGGTAAACATTGCGCATTTGAAGTCCGCATGGCCGTGAGAGAAAAAAACGACGCAATGTCCACCTCCATTCACACTCCACTCCATTATCAATTGGTTCTACCGCTGCGGTGTAGCTGCCGCACCATCCGCCGCCGGTGAAGGGCGCCCACCTGGCGGTATCGCGGCGGGCGGCCGTCTCGGCCTGGCGTGCGGCTCTCTGTCGGCCGCTGGCCTGGCGGGCCCGGGCCGGCCGAGGGCGGACACCACACTCGTGACGTTCCAGCGACGCGAGGCTGACGAAGATGCGGTCACAGGCGTCGCAGGTGAGCGGCCACTCCTGGGGAGACAGGACATGGGTCAGAGGCCATTCCGGGGGAGACAGGACACGGGTCAGAGGCCATTCCGGGAGAGACACGACATGGGTCAGAGACCACTCCTGGGGAGACGGGACACGGGTCAGAGGCCATCCCGGAGGAGACAGAACACGGGTCAGAGACCACTCATGGGGAGACGGGACACGGGTCAGCAGTCACTCCTGGGGAGACGGGACGCGGGTCAGCGGTCACTCCTGGGGAGACGGGACACGGGTCAGCGGTCACTTCTGGGGAGACGGGACACGGGTCAGCGGTCACTCCTGGGGAGACGGGACACGGGTCAGCGGTCACTTCTGGGGAGACGGGACACGGGTCAGCGGTCACTTCTGGGGAGACGGGACATGGGTCAGCGGTCATTCCTGGGACGACAGGACACGGGTCAGCGGCCACTGCTGGGGAGACAAGACACGGGTCAGACGCCACTCATGAGGAGACAGGACACGGGTCAGCGGCCACTCATGGGGAGACAGGACACAGGTCAGCAGCCACTCCTGGGGAGACATGACACCTGACCCGGTCCTCCCCGGCTGCCCTGACCTGGTCCTCCTCTGGCGCCGGCCGGTAGCGGCGGGGCGGGCGGCGCGGTCGGCTGGCTCGCGGTTCGCCGGCCGCACACTGACACTCGACGCCCTCCTCGCAGACGGCGCACGTGGGCTCCGAGAGGTTCTCGGCTGCCGGCAGACGGGCACGCGTCAGCCACAGATACCGAGGCGCAGATGGTTGTGAGCGGTTAGGCGTCCAATCACCGACCAACTTAGACGACAGCCGCAGCAGAACTTACCGGTGTTGGAACTAACTTGGTCGGCAAAATATACAAAACGCGCGCATTCCTGTCCAAGGCATGCTGGAGCTAACATGACCGTCGCCAAAAGGCATCCAAAAGGCAACGCCACCAAAAGGCAACAGTCGGCTCGGGCCAGAATTTCCACAACGAAACTGCACACAACCACCAACGAAACAAACCACTGCCAACACGGCCACCGACGCGGTCGACCCGCGCCAGCGCTGGGCGGCGCTCGGAGGCGAGTGACCCGGCCGGCGGGCGTCCGGGGGAGGGGGGGGGGGGGGCACCCACGTTTGGCGACGAGCATGGTGAGGCCGCGCCGGGCGGCGTACGGCAGACTGTAGCCGGCGCGCAGCTCCTCGCGCGGCTCGATCACGCGGCTGCTGGTGAAGAAGAGGTGCGAGCCCTGCTGGTTCAGCACCAGGTTCTGCTGCGCCAGCGTCTCCGAGCGGCGCACGAAGCGCATCCAGTTGCTGCAGTCTGCAACAGCGGCCGCGCGCCGGTCACGGCCCCGGCGCGAGTCCGGCCCTCAGGCGAGGCGGACGATTAAGCCGTCACGTGTGGGGCCGCTTTCGTCGAGCTCTGTCCAGTTCAGTCCGGCACAGCCCCGTCCAGCACATATCAGACGGGAGGCTGACCGGGGAGTGAGCAGTGCGCGGCCGGGACCGGTGACGTCATCGTCTCGACTCGCTCGCTTTAACGCAGCCCCCGCTTCACGGCACGCGCGGTCGTCGCTGTCAATACTGCCACACCTCCACCGAGCACTCCCGCGCCAGAGGCGGAGGCACGGCCGGCGGTGCGCCTGGCCGGGCGCGCGCGGCACCGGCGCCGCCTCTGACCGGGGTTGGAGACGTCGACGGTGTGCAGCTGGCCGCCGGAGTCGACGCTGAGCACCAGCCCGGTGGGGTTGGGCGCCGTGCCGCCGCGGTCGCGCTTCACCACGATGCCCTCCATCGGGCCGAACTGCGTCCGCTTGGGGATCGTCTTCTTGGCCGTCACGCCGTACACTGGCGGCGGCGCACGCAGCGGGTCACACCCCCAGGTAAGGGGAGACTGGGCGAAATGGCTTGGTAGTCACGGTAAGTCAAAAAAAAAGAGGACAGGTTTTAGTCGACATTGTCACTGTGGTATGAAGCAAGCGTGAACGTGCCATATTCATCGGCAAAAAAAACGGCGCACCATCATACAAAAACACACTTTAGTGTACATGCCACGATTTTACCAACGCATTTTCGTACGGATCATAGTCAGGCGAACACATGTTTTGGTCTCTAACTTACAATCCCACGAAGGTACCTTTTCCCACCGACAGCGAACCACGGTCGTCTCGACGCAACCCAGCGACGCCAGGCCGCTCGCGCTCCCGTGTGAGTGTGTCGGCTCACCTGTCTCGCCCTGGTCGTCAGAGCCGGGCGTTGCGGGCTCACCTGTCTCGCCCTGGTCGTCAGAGCCGGGCGTTGTCGACTCACCTGTCTCGCCCTGGTCGTCAGAGCCGGGCGTTGCGGGCTCACCTGTCTCGCCCTGGTCGTCAGAGCCGGGCGTTGCGGCTCACCTGTCTCGCCCTGGTCGTCAGAGCCGGGCGTTGTCGGCTCACCTGTCCGCCCTGGTCGGTCAGAGCCGGGGGGCGTGTAGACTCAACTGTCCGCCCTGGTCGTCAGAGCCGGGCGTTGTCGGCTCACCTGTCTCGCCCTGGTCGTCAGAGCCGGGCGTTGCGGGCTCACCTGTCTCGCCCTGGTCGTCAGAGCCGGGCGTGACGGCCCGGATAGCCAGGTAGCTGGTGGGCAGCGAGGCCCAGGCGCGGCTCTGCATGGGCCGGTCGCTGATCAGGCGCACCTGGTGGTCAGGACACCGGCCCCGGTAGAAGCTGCAGCACTCCTCGCACCCTGGCCGGGCGGAGACGGGTCAGCAGCGCCGCCGTCACAAGTCGAGGCCATCCACAAACCGGTGCTTACAACCCACCCACTAGTGCTTACAACCCACACACTGGTGCTTACAACCCACACACTGGCGCTTACAACCCACACACTGGTGCTCACAACCTACACACTGGTGCTCAAAACCCACACACTAGTCCTCACAATTCATACACTGGTGCTTACGACCCATACACAGGTTCTCACAATCCACACACTGGTGCTCATAACCTATTTATTGGTGTTCACAAACCACACACTGGTGCTCACAACCCACACGCTGGTGATCACAGCCCCTGCCCCCCCCCCCCCCCCCTCCCACTGGTGCTTATAACCCATTCACTGGTGCTCACAACCCACACACTGGTTACCCACGGTGCTCCACACAACCCTGGCGCGACACAACGAAAGCTGGAGAGAAAAGCAACCGAGTTTTCCGCGAAGAAGAGGTGCAAAACCAAAAATGGCTTCAGACATACAAACGAGTTTCATGCACCGACGTCTGCCGTAGGTCAATCAAAACGAAGCCCTCATCTGGCCGGCATCAGCCCCACCACTCCCCTCATACCGCCAGCTGCTGGAAGCCAGTGCCAGAGCGTGGCGGCGCCTCAGCAGCGCGCGCCTGCGCCGCCGCGCCACTCACAGAAGTCGTTCTGGTGGGCGGCCTGCGCGCGCTCGTCGCCCGCCTCCGCCGACAGGTGGCTCTGCTGCTCGGCCTTCAGCGCGACGGCGTCGGCGGCCAGCGCCGCGTCCAGCCCCTCCGACAGGTAGATGACGGGCAGCTGGCTGACGTCGGTGACGCCCGGCCGAGCGCGGCGGGCCGGCGACGGCCGCCGTCCGTCCCCCGCGTCTGGCCGGCCAGGTCGTCAGTCGGGGGCTTCACAGGAGGACGCCGCCAGTCGGCCAGCGGCTCGTAGCGTCTACAGCATCGGCCGCGCCACCACACGACAAGCGACCGCAGCCCGAAGTGTCCGCAGACCATCCGTCGAGCACACCGGTTTTGGCGCAAGGTTCAGCCAGGGCCAATGCGTCTGTCTGGTGCATTACTGAATTCGTGGACGAAGTTCAACGCGCATGTGTCAGCGCCCAGCGGCACCATGAAACTGACTGGCGGAAAAACTGACGATGGAAAGTCTTAAACAATGGGCGACACGTTCACAAGTTCGGTACCAGCAGCCACCGCACAATCAAAAGCTGACTAAGACAACCACGTGCTCTTTTGAACTTCGGGTATTGCGTAGGACCAGATACACAGATGCCGAGAGAAGTATCGTCACAAGGCATACCGCCAGGTCGTCTGACTGACCAACACACCTGTCTATCCTCGCCTGCCACCCTTCCAGCCTGGCCATCTGCCCTGCCCTGGCCTGCCTTGGCCTGCCCAGTCCTGCTTTGCCCTGTCCTGTCCTGTCCTGTCCTGTCTAGCCTAGTCTGGCCAAGCCAGCTGCCTAGCCTAGCCTAGCCTAGCCTAGCCTAGCCTAGCCTAGCCTAGCCTAGCCTAGCCTAGCCTAGCCTAGCCTAACCTAACCTAGCCTAGCCTAGCCTGCCCTACCCTGTCCTGCCCTGCCATCTGACTGACTGACCTGGCCCGCCCTCCTGCTCATGCATGTGGCCCACGCCATGCGCGGCGGCCTCCAGACCCTCCGAGTCGTCGTCGGTCGAGGGCCGGTAGCCGCCGTCGGCGAGCGCGGCCCGCTGTCGGGCCACCACGCCGTCCAGTGCCTCTCCGTCCTCCGACTCCATGCTGGAGAGGCCGCCCTCGCGCTCGAACAGGCGCTCGCGGTGCTCCAGCGGCAGCAGGCCGTCCTCGGCGTCGCACTCCATCTCGAGCAGACCCTCGTCGGCGTCCGGCTCCATGTGGAGCCGGTCGGACGCCAGTGCCAGCAGGCCGGGCTCGGCCGGCCGGCGGCGCGGCGCCAGCCGGCTCTCGGCGCGCTCGCGGCGCAGCGCCTCGCGCTCGTCCGGCCCCAGCTGCGGCTCGTCCGGCGGCTCGTCCGCGCCGCGTCCCGCCGCCGGCAGCTCGTCCAGGTAGTCGTAGATGACGAGCGTCGCGCTGCCCGCCTCCGACTGCGAGCCGCAGCGAGTGCCGGTGTGACGGGCGTCGGGCAGGACGGGCGGGGTTCGACACGCTCACATCGCATCCCCGGGGGCGCGGACACAGCGCCACCACACGCGACAGCCGCACAAGATGGGGGACTCTCGCCAGGAACGCCAGGAACATGTCCGAAACGGCATGCGGACACCGGTATCTCCCGCCAAATGGCCTCGGTGGCGCCAGACCACAACCAAGCGGTCGTACGCCACACCGCGAAGACCCGACTGCTGCACGGAGTGTGCGCGTGACGAAGGGGAGCCCGCACACGGCCGCCGCACCTCGCCAGAGCTGACCCTCACCACGTAGCGCTCCTGCACCGAGGCCATGATGACCGAGTCGCCGACCATCTGGCCGTCGGCGAGCTGGAGGCCGTGCGCGGCGGCCGAGGGTCCCTCGCCGGGGTCGGGCTCGGCGTCGGCGGCCGGCGCGGCGGCGCACGACAGGTTCAGCCGGACGCCCGAGCTGCTGCTGATGCCCTCGTCCGGCTCGTCGTCCGACTGGGGGCGCGGCGGGCGGGGCCGGTCACGCACCGGCGGCAGCCGCACTGCGGCCGGCGCACGGGGGCAGACACACCGGTGAGGGGGCTACAGCGGTCACGGCCAGGGTGGCCGCCGCCGATAAGGGGCTGCTAAATACAGCCGCGCGTCCACTGCGTCCGTCTCAAACGCGACAGGACTGTCGTGCGCAGCGGTCAGAGGTGACGGTACTGACCTCCGAGGGTGGCAGCGGGTCATCGAGGTCAGAGGTGATCCCACTGACCTCCGAGGGTGGCAGCGGATCATCGAGGTCAGAGGTGATTCCACTGACCTCCGAGGGTGGCAGCGGGCCGACGAGGTCAGAGGTGATGGCACCGACCCCCGAGGAAGGCAGTGGGTCATCGAGGCCAGAAGTGATCCAAGCGACCTCCGAGGGTGGCAACGGGTCATCAAGGTCAGAGGTGATGGTACCGACCTCCGAGGGTGGCCATCATCGAGGTCAGATGGTATTGACTTCATCATGGTATCGACTTCCGAGGGTGGCAGCGGATCATGGAGATCAGAGGCAATGACACTGATCTCCGAGGGCGGCAACAGGTTATTAAGGTCAGAGGTGATGGTACTGACCTCCGAGGTGGGTAGCAGGCCACCAAGATCAGAGGTGATGGTACTGACCCCCATGGGTGGTAGTGGGCCATCGAGGTCAGAGGTGACCCCACTGACCTCCGAGGGCGGCAGCGGGTCGGCGCCGTCGGCGTCGTCCACCGTCGAGTCGATGAGGGCCGACATGCCGGGCGTGGGCGGCGGCGCCTCGGAGCGCACCGAGGCGGGCCCCTCCAGCTGTCCGGTTGAGGACGACACCAGGTAGCTGTCGGCGGCAGTAGCGTCCGAGCGCAGCAGCACGCCGCCCGGGTCCCCCTGGCGGCGGCCACGCGCGGGTGTTAGCGGCGGCGGCGGCGGCGGCGTACAGCCGAGCGGGTGGCGCACGCGGCGGCGGCCACGGCAGGCGGGCGGGCGGGCGGCGGCGAGCGCGGCTCACCTGGTAGACGGGCGGCGCCAGCTGCTGGACGCCGGACGGACCGGGCAGCGGGCTGAGCGGCATCGGATGCAGGTCGGACGGGCAGAGCAGCTCCCCGCCCGCCGGCGAGCAGGCCCCGGCCCGGCCGCCGCTCAGCATCGGCCACCTGGCGGCAGGTCGCCGGTCCGGTCAGGCAGATCCGTCCTCAATGAAGACGCCGACGGTGTGAGACGATCACAACGATGGCGATTATACCACGCAGTTGGTTATTGTACCACGGAGTTGGACGCCATATCACGAAGTTCGTCACAACATGGATGCACACAAAATGCAGTGATATAAGGTAATCTGTATCCACATATATGTATGTATGTATGTATGTATGTATGTATGTATGTATGTATGTATGTATGTATGTATGTATGTATGTATGTATGTATGTATGTATGTATGTATGTATGTATGTATGTATATATGTATGTATGTATGTATGTATGTATGTATGTATATGTGAAAGTGGATAATAAGCAGTGCAGCAAGCGTCGATTCCACTGATGAACAGAGTGTATCATTTGAGAGTTCCTCACAGGTGGTCATGAGCCTGGCACAGAATCCAGAAGAGGGGAAATAAGTTAGGTTGACGACCACACATCCCGTGAACCCGAGCCCGGCTGGTCGGTGGGTGTGGCGTCGACACGCCCTGCCCTCCCCGGCGCGCGAGCCGACGGGCCATTGTGGCACCGGCTGCTCAGCGCGTTTGCCAGCCATCCGGCGCCGCCGCTGGGCCGCCGCTGGGCCGCTGACCTGTGCTGGCCCGCCTCGGAGCCGCTGGGCGCCGGCGAGCCGTAGCCGCTCGCCGCCGAGTAGCCGGCCGAGGTGGAGGGTCGCGGTGACGTCAGCCGGCCGTACTCGGCGCCGTCCGAGCTCACCTCGTCCGCCTCGCCCGCCGCCTGCCGCCGGACGGCCACCATTTCATCGCGGGTGGGGACGACACCAAACGCCGACACACAGCAGCTCGCGGTCCAGCACCCAGTGAAAGCGAAAAGGCAGAGCCTGGGCAGGTAGGAATACAGAAATGCAAATACCTCGCACGTCAGTCTGAAATTAGATCAATCAGCCCATCAGCATACTGCAAGCATGTGGCCACTGCAGTCCAGGACAGCACTCCAGCAGTGTCCTCTGGTGGGCAAACCTGTGAGCTGCTAGGCTGCGGCTGCCACTGGCCCTGGCTGCCGCCGCTGCTGCCATCATCTGCATCATAGCCCCGAGCCTGTCGGCCACGACGCATCACCTGCTGCGCCAGGAGGCCTGCCTTGTGGTGCTCACGCACTGGGGATGGGCACAGAAGTACTGATCACAATGGCTGTAATGTGCTGTTATTAGGCAGCATGGGCATGTTACCTTCTGCATTTTGTGATGACAAAACAAACACAGAACAAGTAGCCTGTGACCATGACACATTGTGATGTATGTCAGGTGCAAAGATGTCCAGATATATTCACCATGTATTTTTGGGTACCTGAGCAAGTGCAATGACAAGTTCTAAGTAATTGATGCCTTCAACATATCTACTATTCACTATATGCAGGTTCCAGTGGGCATGAAATAGCTCCATGGTTTTTTTTTTAAATTGCAGACCAGTTATCATGCCACTAATATATTCTGAAAGTTCATTTTACAAAAAAATATCCATAGAAGGAATGTAATAATGCTAAAGTCTTGACTATTTTGCCAGGTACCTTTGAATCCATTTACTTTTTAAGCAGTTACACAGCCTACATGCCTAGGGACAATACTGCGAGCTGCACATACAATGCACTTCATCAGACAATGCATCACATTTCATACAAGTAAAGAAGACCTCAAAAGCTTGATCTTTAGCATTGTGAGTTATGCCCATAATAACTGACATTTAATCTTGCATTCAACATACTAGGGTCCAATGCAATACAGACATTAAATCAAGAGACTTTTCATGTGTTTCATGAAGAAAAGGAGTAAAACACAAAACTTAATCAATTAAAAACAGCTAAAACCAGCCTAAAATATTGTTGATGACACATCTATTGTCCACATCCCCCTGTTGTCATGTGTATTATGGCTAGATGCCCACAAGTTGATCACAAAACAGCATGTTGTCTGCCACATTTAAGGAGACCTTGTTGCTGGTGCCTGCACATTATACAACCTATGGAAAGTTTCAAATACCAAAAAGAACTAGAAATAGGAAACACCACATAGAAATGGAAATGGATCCTTTACTAGTAATTTAACGTAGGTACCCAATCTGTGCCAATTCCAGACTTATCAAGGATCAAAATGAAAAATATCCTTACACAAAAATGACCCAATGAATATCAATGCACACGATTTATTATAGTGGCTGGACAGAACAAATTCTGTGGATGTCAACCCGTTACTCATGCCCTATCCACCAACGTCTCCCGCAAACTGGCAGCCACGCAAGGACGTATTCGGCTTAGCTTCGGCCCGTTAGCGAATCCTAAAATGAGCATGTGTATCCAACACATCACAAGACTTTCCAACAATCAGAAATTGTTCGTCGCTTCACAAACATCTAACCGGACACCCACCCACAAGCCGTCCGCTCCGTTTCTGTTTTCTCCCCCTCTCGATACAATTTTCCACGCTTTCAAGGCTCGGTAAATGTATGAGAATGTTGGTAGATTTCGCTCTGCACCATAAATGACGTCACTTAAAATCAATGAAACGGATCTACAAAGAAATGTTGAATCTTTGATGGAGTTGAAAAGCCGTCATTTCAAAAAATTACTCAGAAGTGCGATGATTTTCAAGTGGAGGCTGTTGGAACATGGCCACCCCGCGGAGGTTGCGGGAGACCCCTGGGGCCGAGGGTCGTATCCTTGTTTGGCAGTTTAAGACGCTTGGCTGGCTCCTATATCATACAAGAACGGACCCCGACGCATCAAAATAAAGTCCCGAGCTTGAACAGTTTCTCCGAATCCCAAAAAGGGCCTTCTCCATCCAGCACTCTCATGTTGGCACCATGGGTTTCCAGTGGGTCAAGTGGACCTAGGTGGGCAATGAGCTCCGCATGGGCAAGACGGTGTGATTCAAATGGTGTCCACATAGCCCCCACCACAATCCAAATGTTTATCAAATACTTTTATGACGCAAATGAGGTGGTACTTTTCATCAAGGCGACAGCCAGACACGGTTAACTATCTATTTTGTCGACATCTGCTGTATGCAACATCTGTGCATTGCCTTCGGATGCACACGATGGCGACTAAGGTTTTTGGTGACCTGTTCTTAAAAAGTTGCGATGTGCCGCAGTGCGTCACACGACCGTAAGATTCTTGTCGTAAATTGCAGTACATACGTCCTGGAAGAAAGTCGAGTTATTTCTGGCTTTATTGCTAAGGGTTGTTGCGAAAAAACGACGGAAAGTGCTTCTCGGATAACTTCATTTTCTCTCTGAACTCCCTGTACTCCTTCTGCAACCTGAACTCGCGTTACGCGAGGGATTTCTCATACATCATTAGTTAGATTTCTTGATTTTTTTCTCGCTTCACTCTTGGGCGGCATCTCACATACTGGCCACCACTGCGTTACGCGCGGTTTTTCCAAACATCGTTTTTCCCTGCAACTTGGCTTATGTCGTCCACGTAACTCGGAGCAAGTGCTCCCTTTCTTTGCGCAATGCTATCATGTTCACCCGACGGATTTCTCATCGACACCAAACGACAATTACGTGATTTCCAAAGCCCAACATGCATAAAAGCAACAAGAACCGTGAATAACTCAATAATTTAGATTAAGTTCCTGTGTGGTGTTTGAAGTCACGCACTAGCACATGAGCTTGTGCAATGCACATGTGGCGCGCGGCGTATCTATCGGCTCATGACAAAAATCATTCGACTGCATTCGAATCGATTGAAATCGAATCGATTGAAAATTCACGGGCGCCCAAACCGTGCGCAACATCTGAATTATGCGAAATAATCGATCTGACTTGTAACCATGGACCTGACCACGGCACATTGTCTTTCATGGCACAAAACTCAAGCCGCACATTGTTCAGTGATCTGCTATTTTCCCAACAGACTGCTCAATGAAGCGCATACCAGGCAGTGGTCGGCACGCCATTTGGCAATACACATTAGCGACAGATTTGTACATTAGATATGCTAGTTACTGCAATACGGTGTAAGCACGAAAAAATGCACGACATGTAACGGTTCAGAATTAGTGTGCGAGCGCGTAATCTCAGAAGCGTTACATAACGCGTCTTCTTAATTGTCTAAACAGAGAAAAAAGGGCTGGGGGGATGGCCCTGATATAAGCGATTTTCTGGGATCCCGGGGGTCCGGAGATCTCAGCGAATCGACGGAGGGTCGGCGATTGCTCAGCCGGACTTACATTTTGCCGAGGTGTAGGCGCCGAGCGCTCGGCCGTCGGCGCACCAGGCCAACATGGTCGCCCACCACCGCATTGAAGCATTCTGGTGAGTGTTATTAAAGCACTCCACTAAAGCGTTTGTGGAGGGCGCACCAGGGGAGGCGAAAACCTGCTTGATATTTAGTTCTGTGAAAAGACTATCCATTGCTGTACTGCTGAAGGCGGAATTGTTATCACTCAGCAATACTTCAGGAGCTCCGTACTTCAGAAACCGTTTCTGAGTACTGTGCCTGGTTTGTCGGTTTGACCTTTGGTTGCTACGGCCAACGGAAGCTTCATATCGGTGAGTACCAAGACGTCTTGCTTTCTTTTATTTGACGTCATAGGTACTAAACACAAGTAGTCAAGCGATATCATGCCCCATGGCCCCTTTCGCAATGGCTTTTCACTATGTGGCTCTCGCGCCCAGCGCACCCGGTCTTTTGTTTGGCAGACTTGACAGTTTTCCATGCGATGATGAGCTGTGGAGTGCATCTGTTTGAAGAAATATTTCGTCTTCAAATTTTCCAACGTTATCTTGGTCTTACGTTATCACATGACTGCTTTGTTGAGGATGGTCGGTAGCAACTGCTTTGGCACGCACAATTTATGACGTGCTTCGCACGATTTATTCAATGCCTTCTTCTGGGATCGCACCAGGCTAATACGAAACCAATGACCGTCTGCCGATTATGGTCTCTCGTCTCCCAAATTGACGTGGCGCCTAAGCAGTTGGCATCTTTTCATCCCGACGATGCCAATGTAAAACTTTCTGCGTGTTAACCATGATGTCCGTGGGATTAAGACAGGGCGCCCGTGATGCTCTTACACTCCATTGACCTATCTGACGACGACGGTAATCTTGTCGCTCCTCACTTCCCACATCACCTGTTTGCCCAGGTGCTTCCTGTGCTGGGGACGTAGCTCCCCTTGTCCGTTTGTGTGCAGGGTGAATCTTCTGCTCCCAGCTCTTTGTTTCCCACGTATCAGCTGTTGTAAATCCATGGTGAGCTGCAGCTGCCATCCTCTCGACTTGTGAGAGATTGCAACATTCACATTCAGTTGTGACTGCTGCCCACTTATGAGAGCTGAATTGTAGCTATTGGTGATGATGGTCGTAGCTAGCGTCCGTTTGGAGCAGTACACGGGGAGCGGACTCGAATTTGCCTCACGTCATTCCGTGGCTTGGTCTTTCAGCCTCGATAGAAAGTCGCAGTTCTTGTCGTTTGAGTCGCTGCAGTGTATCACTTCCAGATCGCATTCCTGAAGCGCAAGCGCCCACCTCTGTAGTCGAGGATTCGGAGTCTTCAGCGTAGAGATCCCTTCAAGTGTCCAGTGGTTGGTGATAGCATACACCTCCCTCCCCGGTAGATAACTTCAAAGATGGTTAAGTGCATAGATTTGATCTGGCATCATCATCTCTGTTGATGAATTTGCTCTCTTTTCATGTAATTTCCAGGGCCCTACATACTCTAAATAGCTTGCAATTAAAGATGCACATTTTTCTTCTGCTGCAAACATAGCCGCTTTCTTCATGCGTTCTATGATGGAACTTGGTAGACTCGAAAGGTGGAATCGTTGTTCCGCCAAGTAAACGATTCTCATGTGCACTTACCCCGAAGACTCTGTTCCTATCTCGTCTTTTTTCGAGCATTTGGAGTAGTGTCGCTGATACTTTATTCACGTCGGCGGCTGCCTTCGGCCGGACGCTCATGAAGCTCTAAATATCCTCTTGTCTTGTCTCAATGTTCAAGCCTTCTTCGCTATGCACCGCCTCAGCCGTTTCATCAAATGTTGCACAGGCCTTCTTTCAAGTCGCCTGACACACATCTGGCTTTTATCCTTTGAAACAAACGTTTACTTGCCTGATATGGTGCCCGTCGTTTTCGCTTCTTCAGACATTTAATTTGTTTATCGTGTTGTCGATTCACAGTAATTCACACCATGGGTTCGGCACGACGCGGGAGCGACAGTGGGAATCAATGTGACTGCTCTCCTTGCTCACGTCTTGTTTTTCAATCGACATCGCCACGCTGGTCACCAATATGTCACGTGCGGTTTTCCATATGCCACTGTTTTCTTCAACTTTATTTTTGCCGCCCACGAAACCCGGAGCAAAGGCTATTTTTCGCAACATTGTGATGCTCGCCCGGCGGATTTCTCACCGACACGGCATTCGGCAACGACGGCGGTCATGGCATTCCCAGAGCCCAGTTTGCATAAAACCAACAGACGCCGCGACTGACCCAATAATGTACATAAAGTTCCTGTGTCGTTTTTTAATTTGCGCCCTCGCACATGGCGTGTAATGCATATATTTTGAGTACGCTATGAACAGTGATCAGCGAGGTAATAGGGCCACTTCGTCGGAATAACGACGTTTATGAATATATTGATTAAACACCCATTAGCGGCAACTTGTATATTAGATATGCCAGGTACTATGATTCGATGCAAGCACGAAAGGAGTGCGCGACATATAACGGATCAGAAATAGCATGCGACTACGTAAGCTCAAAATTCCTACAGAAGTGTCCTTTTCTTAAGGCGCATTAATGCAACGCAAGGTTATATAACAAAGAAAGGGTCGGGGTCGCCGGAGGGTCGGTGATTCCTCTGCCGGGCTTACACTTTGCCGAGGTGTAGGCGCCGAGCGCCCGGCCGTCGGCGCGCCAGGCCTACATGGTCTCCCATCGCCGCGTCCGTGCCAATGTACCTCCGTCAGCCGACTCGGACTACTGCTGCACTGTCTGAATATGCCGATGTCCTGTTTCAACGTGCCCCATACTCCGACGGTGCCGGCGTTTTTTTTTAACGGCCGCCCCCTATCGATCGTCCTAGCGCGCATGTCCGAAACGACCGCTCAGACCAACCTGAGCAAAAAACAAAAAACAAACAAACAAAACCGTACTTGCACATTGAAAAAAACAGCACGCAGCCCGCGTCGAACAGACACGCCGCGCGCCATAGTTGTATTCAGCCTTGGGACGCGGTGTGATGTATCTTGTGCGTCGGTGTGATGTGACTTGCGCGTCGGTGTGATGTGACTTGCGCGTCGGTGTGATGTATCTTGTGCGTCGGTGTGATGTGACTTGCGCGTATCAGACACGACCAGTGTGTTCCGAACAACGTGTCTTCAACAACTGGGTCGTCTTTTGATGCGTTGGTTTCAGCGGGGCATATGTGAAGTGTTGAGAATCCA